AGTAATGTGATATAATCTAATCCTAAAGAGTGTTTTAAGTTTTGTTGTTTGATGTATTTATATGGAAAAAAAAAGGGAGATAATTTCTTTGAACATGACAAAATCTGTTTTCTTCTTTTTCAGGTGTTATTTTGTTCTAATTTGCTTTTCCACACAAATTAAATTATTACATCATTGACAGTTTATGTAATGTAAATTTTTGGTTAACTGCAGATAGAAAGTTTATTTTTCATAAATTGTGAGCGAATTAGATGCAATAGATTTAAGTTCAGTGAAATAGTATTTTTTCTGTTTCTTATAAGACATGACAGATTCTATCTGTTTGGCATTGATATATATATATAAATGATGCTGGGACGTGAATTTTTGGATAACCATATTTTCAGAAAGTATAGCTCCAAAGTAAAAACACTTTCATTTAATAATCAAGTAGGCTTAAATTGTTATTGACTCAGTTTTTAATACAAAAAATGTGAATGACTTTAGAACCTAAGGTTTTTATTTAATGTGTGTTTCACCAACTAGTTTCATAACTATATTAAAACAAAGCTACAGCCATGAATTGGAAAAATACAAAATAAATATTCTAATATTGGAAACTTTTTCTTAAGGCATATGATGAAATTTTATTTAATAACAAAAGTGGGTCATTTATTAATCCAGTAGTCCAGCTTAGCCCCTTTTATACAAAATTACTATTTCTCTATATACATGAAATTACAAATCCAAGGTTTTTTTTTTAAAGAATCAAACAAAGCATGATTTTTCACAATGTCACAAAATAAGTGTCAAATAAACTTTGTTATGGGTTTGGAAACCTTAATAGTGTATGATATTTAAGTTCTCGTCTTATTAGTATGTCAGTGATTGGAAATATACAACTCTGCCTTAATAGCATCAAACATTTACTTTGATGTTTCAGATTATAGATTATGATACATGTAGCTTTAACTATAATATATATTGAATAAAATAGATATTTAAGTGAAGTTATAGGATGCTATAACATTGGTGTCTTACTAGGAGTATTTTTTATCTGAGCCAGATTGGAAAAAGTTTTATTAATATTATAAAAGATAATCAGTTAGTTGAACTGATATTGCCTAAAAGTAAAGAAGTGACAAAAACTTTCTTGATAAAAGAGTTAGCACAAAGGATCACATATAAAGTGTAATAAACTTAAAATAAGACCCAAAACTCGAGCGCTTTCGAATAGTTGACTATTCTTCTTCAGGAGAACAAAGAAATGACAAAAAAAAATAGGCATAACTGTGACAAAGTTAAAATGTTTGAAGTGGGAGAGAAATAACACTGCTCAAAATCATTTTCTTTTGAGAATTAATTTTTGCATCAGTTTCATACAATAATTTATCTTTATGAACCATCTCATTCATATATTGAATGCGTAATATACTTACTTATAGCTATGAAAGTTTTTTTGTTTGCACTTATACCTTAGTTATTTGTAGAATATAAAGTTAGAAGTTCAATCAACTGAAGAAGAAAAAGCTCCCATATAGATATACCTTTGTTATTTGACCTGTTTTCTGTTTTAAGAAAATAGATAACTGACATTTGTTTGGATAGTTTTGAGCCTATTATCCTCCATAAAATAGAACTTCTTTTGAAATTGTATTTCACAATATGAAAGTTAAACTGTGGTTGCAGTTATTGGTATATCTGAATGATATGAAAAAAATTTTTAGTATGTTCGGTAAAATATGTAGGCTACTCGCTATATTGAAAAATGGTATGGGAAACTCTATAACCTATATGCTAGTGATGTTTTATATTATTTTGCTGTTTTATGTAGGTTAGTGATTGTACGTATTATTTAATGATTGAGGAACATTAGAAAAATAGGGCAGTCAGTCTGATTGCTTTCTATAGGTCAGGTTCAAGTTCAATTAAAAGTTTATGTAATGTTTTCAATTATATTTTATGTTTGAGCAATGTTGTTAATATTTAATTGAATCAAATGTTTTATCTTTTATAGGCCCATTGGTGATCAAGTAAACAATCAGCTACTGAGAGATTATAAATTCTTAGTAGAGGTTTATAAATTTTTAATTTTCTGTTTTGAAAATAAATGTCTTAAAAAAGTCATTAAAAATGATATTACATGTGAGAAAACTACTGCTGGATGGGATATCTTTTAATTATAAATTAAATTAGGTATAGTTAAAATATTAGCGCCAAGATTTGTAGACCAGTGACTGATGTTATGGTTTTTATTTTTCAGGACCTTGAGGACGCTTTGGTAGATACTGGTAGTCTTCTTGTTCCAGATATCTGTGCTCGCTTGCTGAGGTTTCTCACTGAAAAGAAAGATACATTGTAAGCATACTACAAACTTATGTACTTGTCACTGCTAAGAAATAATACTGTCAGTGTATTATAAGCATAAAAGATTCCTTAAACAAGCATGCTAAAATCCATGATTTAATTCTCCAAGACAGACTGAGCAAAGATAGCCCATTGTGTAGATTTGTGATAAAAACAAAATAACAGTTGTATAGGTTTACAGGAGGTTTGAGTTCAGTAAAATATTAGTACTTTGCATACTTACAAAGGTTCTTTGTTACCTATAAGCATTGTTAACATTCTTCAATTTCCTAAAAATTGTGTTGGCTAGAAAAATTTTATCAATACATTTGAAAACTTTCAAATAAAAGTACTAGATAGAAATGTGCATCATAGTTATGTTGTAAGCTTATTTTTTCAAAAGGGTTATTCACAGAAATGATTTTAGTGAAATATTTTATGTAAAACAAATATCAGTAATTTATGAACAGATCTTTAAGTACTTGCATATAAAAATTCTAATGAATACACACTGAAAGCCTTTTAGTATTAGCTCAAGTAAGCCAGGTTTTGCACTTAACACACTTGTGTTATTGAATGCACACAGAAAGTCTCCTAGTGTTAGCTCAAGTAAGCCAGGTTTTGCATTTAACATACTTGTATTATTGAATGCACACTGTGAAAGCCTTTTAGTCTTAGTCCAAGTAAGCTAGGTTTTGCACTTAACACACTTGTATTATTGAATGCACACTGAAAGTCTTAGTGTTAGCTCAAGTTAGCTAAGTTTTGCATTTAACACTTGTATTATTGAACGCACACTGAAAGTCTTAGTGTTAGCTCAAGTAAGCTAGGTCTTGCACTTAACACTTGTATTATTGAATACACATTGAAAGCCTTTTGGTGTTAGTTCATGTAAGCTCGGTTTTGCACTTAACACACATGTATTATTGAATGCACACTGAAAGTCTTTTAGTGTTAGTTCAAGTAAGCTAGGTTTTACACTGAACACACTTTTTAGTTTGACTGAATAGAATTACATATTTCAAGAAGCTATTTAAAACCAATGAATAAGCGAACAGTACATAAGAGGGGAATAAAAACACTATAACCTGAGAGATTTTGAAAGGTGGACCTTTCTTCTTCAGGGGCAAACAGTACGTAAGAGGATTAGAGGTCAAAATGAGAGATTTTGCATGTGTAGAAAAAGAAATTATCTAAATCTTTCAAATGCGAAGGTATTCCTTTTTCCTTGTAGTAAATTCCCTTCTGTGGTACCGTACGATGATGTGATTTTCATTCACACTAAATCTTTACCAGGTGCAGACTAAAATAACAGTTTCAAAAACAAACATTTGTCATAGAGGTTTGATTTTGTAAGTTTTTTTTTTTACCAGAAAATATTTGTACATAAATATAAAATCTCAACAGTAGCAGAGTAGAACTTATTATATTGATAGATATGTCATTGGTCTGATCTATTTTACAGTGTATGTCTTCATCATTTGGTAATTGTTCTTTTTTAACAGTAAGCATAAAAACAAAGCCAGTTAGATGTAGAAATACTGTTTGAAGTAACTATTTATGATGCCACCTAGCAAAGAGAATATTTAGTTGCATTGAGTCTTTCTAAACTCATTGTGTACTATAATAAGTTTCTTTGTCCCATATTTAAATAATTAAACTCAAAATTAAAATGACTTTCAAACATACACGATTCTATAATTATGCACTTATTTTATTTGTTGGTTATAATCAAGTTTCAGTGCCTTTTATTGTAGATTGGAAATTAGTGTTATTCTTGAATTTAAAAACAAAATTGTAATGTTATTGAAATAAATTTAATCAAATTCTTCTCAGATCCATTTTGGCTTCACAAGGCCATAGGAAGAGGTAAGGCCAGCCAGGCCTGACCACTTTTTCATGGCATGTATAGCTACAACTTATGTATTAAAATTTGCTTATTTTAATTCAATAAATTATGTTCTATGTATGCATTATTTGTAGTTAAAATGGCTCAAGACTCAATATCATAGAATTAAATTTTCAAAACTTTTCTGGGGGGCATGCTCCCAGATTTCACTAGAGTTGGCATGCTTTGCACACATCGTATGTCACCTTGTCTAGATATGGCAGTGGCTTGACCACTCCAAAATATCTTCCCACAGCAGTGCTTCATAATATAGAATTTTATCTAAATGATCAAGATGTAATATCTGATAGTTTCTTAAGACTAATTTAACCCTAGAGTTACTATTACTATTTCTGCACTAAATTGCTGTGGGTCCATGATTTTCTTGGTTACAGTCTTCAATAATATACAAGTCACACAAAATAATCTAAATAAAACAAATACCACCAATATTGCAGTTAATTTTACTAATTACTTTTGGAGTTTCTTATGTATTTTAGATAGTAAATGAGTGATTTAAACAGTTGTTTTGGTCAGTTCTTTACACTAAGTGCTATAACAGGCAAAAAACTAAAATTAACAGTATGTGGACTGGGCTCCACTATTAGCAAAAATATTATGAGAAGTCAGTAGTTTGAGGGTTAAAAACTTTTTAAACCAAACGTGGTTTATTTATTATAGTAAACTAGTTTATCTGTTGAAGAAATCTGTTAGTTTTGAGATAGATGTTCCTTCGAAAATTCCATAAAAGAAGAGCGTAATAGTGCTTTAAACCAAACTGGCATTTTTCAAAGTAATTTAATTGTACTGTAGAAGATACTACTGTGTAACTAGCTGTGACCCACAAAACATTTGCAGTAGTTTTAATGCCTTTCATTTGAATTTTCCTTATTTTATCATATTCATGCATGGCATTTAAGCTACACTTTCTTGCAGGCATTATGTGTTAGATCAATAAATTCTGGTCTGTTTAAAAAAAGTTTATGCAATCAGATAAACAACTCGTGTAGACATAACTTTATTTAATAAAACTATATGTAAAGTAAAGAATAAAGTATAGTAATGGTACTTATAATAGTGTACAGAGTATGAAACTTGTGAGCATTTAGTGTATGACATGGTTTTATGAGTTAAAAAAAAGAAACTCACAAAAACAAAGAATAAAACCTGTACTAAAGAAATAAGTGGCTAAAAGGTGATTATAGCAGTCTATGAAATGAACAAAAGCTAAAATATTGAGAAATATAGTTGTAATGAAGGCAAACTTAGCTGAATATGCAGAAACATCTGAATGCGTGTTCACAAAGTAATAAGCATATGGTTTTGAACGAACTACGCATGCATATTTAGACCTAAGTAAGTAGAGAAAGCTAATAGCAATTGTTTTTAGTGTAATGTTATTTTGTTAGGAAATTACATGCGAGCTAAGCATTGTTTGTGTGAAATACTTTGCAAGTAAAAAAAAAAGACTAAAGTTGAAATCGAAGCCAGTCATCACATGATGACAACGACATTGTGCCCATCGTGTAGCATACTCGTTGAATTATAAAGTTTGAATAAGCAAAAAACAGGCAAGGTGGTTCTGAATTGAAAAGCCAATATGCAACCTGGACTGCTCAGATAAAGGCCTTTCTAACTATATGAGATTTTTAGTATTTGACAGAGAAATTTGTGAGAAATATTCCGGATAGACAAACGCAAGCATATTATTTACACAGATGCACATGTTTAATATCAACCTATATATCCTCCTGTATAATTAATGTAGAAGGCTGTTATTGTTTTTTGCACATTATTAGCTTGTTTTTTCTCTATTTTTAAATAAAATTGAAATGCCATCATTTTTATCAGGTTTTAAATATTTTGTAGTGGGTGGATGTTTCTTCATAGAACCTCGGTGAGTACAAACAGCTCATTCCATATTTATTATGGTCCTTTTTTTTTTTGTACCAGACACAATGTTACTTTATTCTGGGCTTTAAGTGATTAGGTTTGCTATTGCTCTTTGAATTTTGAATTATTAATTGGGTATCCATTTATCCATACTATTCTACAAAGAGATTTTTCTTCTATTGTAGTTAAATTTTTAACTCAAAATTATTTCTTTTTTAATATTCCTTGGTATTCAAAGTATGCAAAAGGCTTGAAGAATACAACGTCTTAAAACATATTCTTTATAGATATTTTAGGGAGAGTAAATATGCTGTCACTTACTATAGGGATGGTGATACATTGGTACAGAAACAAGAGCACAGAGTAATTCATTAGATGGGTCATGGTGCACTGGTACACATAGTGGAACTCATCAGAAGGGTGATGATGTTCTGATTCACAAGTGTGGGCACAGTGTAATTCATTAGAGAGGTGATGATGTTCTGGTTCACAAATGTGGGCACAATGTAATTTGTCAGAAGGGTGGTGATGTTCTGATTCACAAATGTTGGCACAGTGTAATTCATTAGAGAGGTGGTGATGTTCTGGGTCACAAATGTGGGCACAGTGTAATTCGTCAGAAGGGCGGTGATGTCTGGTTCACAAGAGTGGGCACAGTGTAATTCATTAGAAGCATGGTGATATTCTGGTTCATAAGTGTAATTCATTAGAAGGGTGGTGATGTTCTGATTCACAAGTGTGGGCACAGTGTAATTCATTAGAGAGGTGATGATGTTCTGGTTCACAAATGTGGGCACAATGTAATTCGTCAGAAGGGTGGTGATGTCTGGTTCACAAATGTGGCACAGTGTAATTCATTAGAGAGGTGATGATGTTCTGGTTCACAAATGTGGGCACAATGTAATTCGTCAGAAGGGCGATGATGTATGGTTCATAAATGTAAATAGTCTGATTCATTAGAAGGGTGGTGATGTTCTGGTTCAGAAATGTTGGTACAGTGTAATTCATTAGAAGGGTGGTAATGGTTTTCTGAATACAAATGTGTGCACAGTTTAATTCATTAAAAGGGTGGTGATTTTCTGGTTCAGAAATGTTCACACAGTGTAATTCATTGGATGGCTGGTGGTGGTTTTCTGGTTTGCAAACATGGGCACAGTGTAAATCATTAGGGGGAATATACTGGTTCACAAACATGAGCACAGTGTAATTCATTTGGGGGAGGGGGGGTTCT